CCTGATAGTTTACAAACAACAACAGGTGATGATTATCATCCAAAATTAACAAAAAAACAACTTACTATATTACATAAATGTATGCCAAATGCACTTTATTATGAAATTGCTATATCAAATGATGAAAAACCAGCATTTACAAAAGCCATGACAAAAAATGCTTATATGAGAACATTATTTAATCAATTAAATGATGAAGAACGATTAACATATATATTAAAATCAATAAAAAAATGGAATGAATTTCTTCATTTCAATCCAAATGTTATCGAAAATTTAATTCCAACATTACATTTATTATTAGCTAAAAATGAAGATATTATTTTATATTTTCAATCAATGGGTTTACCGCCACGACCACCAATAAATAGTTATCTTTTTTTCAATCATGAAAAAGAAGAAATAGGTTCTCGACAATCTTGGTCAGATTTATCTTCAATACAAAAAACAGAATATGCTCAACAATTAGCTGAAATTAAAAATGAATATTATCAAAAACTTGTTGAATTTGTTGATCAAATTTTAGCATCAGATTATATGAGATATGAATTTTTTCGTAATGTTAAATATGCAGTTAAAGATTATGAATTAGCAGCTAAATGTGAAATAACAGATAAAAATACTGGACAACTTAAACTTATTGAATATTATATGCTTAAAAATGAAATGACAAATAATTTGAATCAATTCAATCAAATAAGAGAAAAATTATTATCAACACAATTAACGAATGAACAAAAGAATCTTGTTGAAGATCTTTCACAATTATTGTATAAATATATTACGTGAAAGAAAAATAAAAGTTTTTTGTTTGATGTGTTAATTTAACTTTTTTAATTTTTCAGTATTTGAAAAATTCTAAAAAAAAAACAAGGATATCTATTGACTTATATACATCTATATTGTTAACATATTCATTATTTGTTTTTTCTGTATACATATTCATAGACTTTATAGTGTGCAAAAAAAATGTATAGGTTATAATCTAATATTAACTTTGTTTTAATCTTAAATAAAACAAAAGGATATATACTGATGTAATTATTTTAATAGAAAAGAGAAAAGGATAATTATCCAAGTCTGTCTTTATAATCAATGATAATTGATTAGAGAAAAAAGACGAATAGTTATTATTATTGTGCTCAATGACTGTCATTTATGGTTTGGAAAACGAGTTTATACATCAGAAGACTCTTTCTCTTTCGAAGTAATGATCCTAGAGATGAATATAAAGACTTATTCAGTCGTTTTAAAAGTTTCTATCGGGGATGATGAATAAGTCTTCTAAACTCCTTTTAGAGTCGTTTATTCAAAAGAAGATTTCATAATGTAATTGTAGCTTTAAAATATAGTTGATAGTTAGAAAAAATTGTCTTGAATATATATTAATTATATGAATTGTTGATATACTTTCGGATTGATCATTATATTCTTCATGACTTATACAATATTGATCTATGGAACTGATACAAGATATGAGTATCAAGTCATGAGATGAATCTGAAAAGGGTCCATCGTCAAATGTTAGATAAGCATACACTACGAAAGTATATCAGTATTCTGTATAAGAAAACTTCTTCTGATCATAAATATGATTCTCTATCATTTTGTCTTTGGTAGATAGAATAAAAATCTTGACGTTAATTTAAAAAGTCAGGCTGCTGTAATTGACTAATGTCTAAAGGTTTTAATTCGATTAATGAAGATGCTTGTAAATGTGAGAGACATTTGTTAGAGCAAATTCAATCTATATGATAATATATATGCAGTACATGGTTAAAATCAATGCATAGATCATATTAGTTATCATTGTCTTTGCTTATATCAATCGATTTTGTATCTTATTTACATGGAAAAAGCTGTTTATCGGTGACCTCTATTGATCAATATTTTCAACAGTGAAGTAAATAACCCATTAGTATTTAGTACGACGCATGAATGAATGAATGAAGCTATACATATTTGATTGTATATTGGTAAAAACTGAGGTTTTTTTTAGTTTAACTAGAAATCTTAAACTCAATTGATTTGCTTATAAGAAAATAGTATGGCTTTCTGGCGTGGTGGTTCTCTGTTTTCAGCTGCAACGTCTTCGACAACTCCATCTAGTAATACTGTCGGTCAAGAAACGGTAAGTTACTACAACGATCTGATTTACTTCTAATTAATCAATAGACACGTAATATTATTCATCTAATTTAATAAATTCTTTGTATATATTTATACAGGTTGAACGTTTATGCGATCGTCTACAATTAGCTACACGCATCGAAGATCGACGTGATGCTGTACGTGCACTCAAAGCACTTTCAAAAGTATTCAATAAATTTTGTATTATTTGTTAAATATATTCTAATATAAATTCTGTAGAAATGTAAACTTGAAGTCGGTACTCAAAGTATGACTTTATTAGCAAATATTTTACAAGGTGATCGAACTGATTTGGATCTAATTCAATTAGCACTTGAAACATTAGCTAATGTAGTGACTTATGAAGTTGGCAATGAAGAAGGTCTATGATTTATTCGTTAATCGATATTTTTTCACGTATTTATTTATTTTATAGAACAAGCAAATTTACCACAAGATATTACTGTTCAATTTACAGGTATGCATTGTAAATTTTTTGAAGAAAATTAATGTAATTGCATTTATTTTCATTTAGAATTATATGCTAAAAATAAAGAATATGTTCATGCAGCTCTTGAACTTATAGAAGTTAGTTTCATAATGTTTTTTTGTTATTCTTAAAAATCTGTATTTGTAGGAAATTGATTTTAATGTACGACGTGCTGCTATTCGATTTCTTACTGCACTCTTAACAAATTGTTCTAAAGTATTACAAGAAATTATTCTAGAAAGTGGACCTATGGGTGTATCAAAATTAGTCGATCTATTACAAGATGAACGTGAAGTTATTCGGAATGATGTAAATTTTCTTAATTTTATAAAACAAAAAGAATTTTTAATTTTCTTAGGCACTTCTTCTATTACAAATATTAACTCAATCTAATGCTAATATACAAAAGATAGTTGCATTTGAAAATGGTTTCGAACGTTTATTTGAAATACTTGTTAGTGAAGGTGGAAGTGACGGAGGTAAATTAATCAATCAAAGAAGAGAAAAGAAAATTTATTTTTCTATTCTAAATAGTTGTTACTGTCGAAGATTGTTTATCTGTTTTATTAAATTTATTAAAAAACAATCCATCAAATCAGAGTTATTTTCGTGAAGGTTCATATATTCGACGTTTAGTTGATTTTTTTGAACTTAGTTCAATTGGTGAAAAACGTTGGTCTGCACAAAAAGTAACAAATGTTCATCTCTTATTACAAGTAAGAATATAACTATAAACAAAATTTAAATTTCATTTCATCTATTCAATAAAGGTTATTCGAATACTTGTTTCACCAACAAATTCTAATCAAAATATCGTCGCATGTCAACGTACAGTTAGTCAATGTGGTAAGAATTTTATAAATCGAATAGAATTTTATCTGTGATTATAAAAAAAGGTTTATTACATCGTTTATGTGTTATGTTGACACTTACAACAATTCCTGCTGATGTTTTAGCTGAAGTAAACTTGAATATTTATATTTACCTAATACAAATCTATTCTTTAGACGATTAATACAATTGGCGATGTTGTTCGTGGTCATACAGAAAATCAACAATTTCTCGGTTCTGTGATGAATACAACTGGTGAAGTTCAACAGTAAATAAAATTTTTGAATAAAATAGATTTGATCATATTGTTTTTTTTTCTAGACCTGTATTATTTAATCTTTTATATACAATGGTTGCTGGTGAAAAACAATCATTTCCACTTCGAATATCAATTCTCTATTGTCTTCAATGTTATTTATATAAAAATGACATTGGAAAATCTCTCATTGTACAAACACTTTTACCTCAAACTGAAAATGGTATTCAACAATTTTCTTTTTTCGAATAAAATTATCATTTACTTTTTTTTCCAGCTGCTAATCAATATACATTAGGTCATTTATTAATCATTGGTTATTTAAGTAAAGATATTATTGCATCATGGTGTTCAGGTATCGCTCTTGCGCATTTAATTGCTGATAGTCAACAGTATAAAGAAGCCATACTCAAAGTCGTATTAGCAGTTGATCAAGCACAAACAGGAGCGAAAACATTAATGGAAATCTCAACAGATTTATTACAAAATGTAATTTTTTTGCCATATAAAATCTATTCCATATTTTCTTTTATTAATAGTCTTCATCTTCATTTCATACTCGTATTGCTGTACTAATTTTTCTATGTACATGGTTAGCAAATTGTTCATCAGCTGTACAAACATTTCTTTCAATTCAAAATAGTATTTCATACGTATGTCGAAAAAATAATTTTCTCAATTCAAAAAAAAAGATCTATCGCATTTTAGCTTATCTCACAAATATGTGCTCAATCAATTGCTGATGATAAAGAAATTCTTATACAATCTTTATGTTCATTTGCACTAGGTTTATGTTTAGTTTTTAATAATAATCAAATACCATCATATTCAACGTAAAAGAATCTTCTATTATTTTATAAAAACATAACTAATATTTTTGTTTGTTCTAGTGAATCTCTTGAACGAATAATAAATAAACGTATTGGTATTGATTTATTTCAAGAAAAACTTGAAATATTATCAAAATCTGAATATTATGCTAAAGCTTTACAAAAACCACAGCTGAAATTATCGAAATCTAATGATATGATACTTGATTATGAATTTGCTCGTTTATATAAAACTCTTGAAAGTTCAATAGCACGTATGTTAATAAGAAATAATATAAATCCAACAGAAAAATCTTTAATTGATCCAATGTCAACAAATCTCTATGAACAACAAACATCAACAATGATGACACATTATAATGATTTAATTCGACAACAAGATCAACAATTAAATACATATAAACATCAAGAAAAACAATTTAATCATGAATTAGATACATATAAAATGAAAGTTATGGATTTAGAACAAAAATTACAAGAAATAAGAGATCAATATGCTTTATTAAGAATATCATCGAAACAAGGTTAGTTTCTCGAGTGGGCGCCGCTCACGAGATGAAAACATTGTTTTATATAAAAATATTCTAGGACCAGATGCTCATAATGAATTAAGAGCGATATGTGAACAACAAAGAGTTGAATTAGAATATTTAAGAAATGTTATGGTATGTTTAATTGTTTTTATAATGAACTTTATTATTTATTTCTTTGGTATAGACTCAACAACAATATTCGACTATGACACAACCGTAAGTGTTTGAAAACGTACTTTGATGTTTATGAACTCTCTGATATTTTAGTGTTGAAAATGGAGTTGAACAATTAAATTTAAATAATCATGAAAATCATAATATTCACGTAAGAATATATGTTAAACTCTTATTCTGTATGTGTATACCTTGAAATCCTTTGTATAGAACGATGGGCGCATTCAAGTAGGTGAACGAGCAGCATTAACTGCTCGTATTACTGAATTACAAGAAAAGATCAATACATTTGACGAAAAGTAATGATTAAATTTCTGTTTAAAAATAAACTATTTTGATTTATATAATTAGATATGCAGCACAAAATGATGAAATAGCTCGACTTCAATTAGAAAATGGTGTCTTACAAGAAAAAATTACTAATGAAAAACGAAAAGTATCCATTCTTGAGGTATATCTATTAATTTATCAATATTTTCTTGTTTTTTAATTAATATATTTTCATAGAACCTCGAAAGTCAAATGCAAGGATCACTTGATGAGAAAACTCGTTTAGATAATGAATATCAGAAATTAAACAATATTTATCAACAAACTTTAACCGAACAAAATGATTTACTTGTACTTTGTTCAACTTATGAAGATCAATTAACAACATGTAGAAATATCATTCAATCAACAGGATTACCGGTAAATAAAGTTATTCATTAGTAATTTTCAATTTCTTTCTCTATAATTTATATATAGGTACCAAATTTCTTACTGGAACTTGATAATAATGAATGATAATTATTCATTTATTTTATGTCATATATTCTTTTTATTTATTTCTCATTTTACAATCGTTATATTGTTTTTTCTTTCATGTATTTGTTGTTTATGTTTTAATCTTATTTTATTATTTCTCTAGCAAATTCATCGTTAAATATAGAAGTATATGGGATTTGGACTTATTATTTCATGTATAAAGGCAATAATATACAAAATAGTGATCAATTGCTTTTAAGTTTAGTTTAAACAATAAACAAGTACTACGGTTAACAAAGAGAAAGAATTTACTATTAATACTCTTTGCATCGAAAATAATAAAACATACTTATGAATCAATCGTTGAGCAAAGTCCTCATTAAGTCGCAATCTATTCAATCTATTTCCATAACTCAGGTACAATACATCCTTCACTATTTGAATATTTACTTCCTGCTTTTTTTGTCATACGACTTCGACTAAGACAATGAAAACAACATTCATGTATTTTATACATTCATCCTTTCAAGTATCAACACCATCGATAGACATATCATCTTTCTTCTTTTTCTTTTCAATATATCCACTTTCATCAAACTCTTCAGACATAATCATACACAGTAACAAAAAAGAAATGAATTTACATATGTATACTATCTTCATAATTATAAAATATTTTTATTTTAGTTTATTCATTATCGAATTACATTTCATCAAGTTACATTATCATTATAAAAAAAGAGCGTAGATCAAATAAACAGTTTCATCAAAAAATATATTATATACATAATAGACATATCAATAAAAAAAAAGAATTTAATCTAATAGGAAAGCTTTCAGACGTAAATAAGTAATACGTTCTACTTGTGCACAAGCTATCTGAAATTCGTTTTCACGATCATTCTCTAATCGACGTTTGATAGCATCAAGTATACTTGCTTTAGTATTATCTTTCACTGCAATTATAAATGGAAAGCCAAATTTTGTAGTATATTTTTCATTTAAATCAGTAAATATTTCTCGTTCTTCATCAGTTAACATATCAAGATCAGATGATAAATGTTCATTTGTTGATTCAGCAGTTAAACATGTCAAAACAGCTAGTTTTCGAGCTAAATTTGGATGTGCAACTAAGACTTTCAGTCGTTCATCATCTGATGCAGCACGAAATTGAGTTCGAAGTGCAAAGTGTAGTCCATGTGCTGTATTATTAGCTGGAGCAAGTTCACCATCGAAAGCACGTTCGGCGATCCATGATGATTGTTCAAATATTAATCCAAATCGACTGATAAAGGTTTCTCGATCAAGTTGTGATGGAATAAGATCTGGTTTAATATAAGGATGTGTTTTCTTCCAATGAAGAGCAATTTCAAGTCGAGTTGGAATCCACACTTTGTCTTGACTTTGTATGTAATTAATAAATCGAACTAAAGAAGAGATTCGACCAGGACGACCAATTAATCGACAGTGTAATCCAACAGTCA